CGGAAATCCAAAGAAAAAGCTCAAAGGACAAAAGGCAGCCTCCCTTTAAAAAAAAGAAAACAAAAGGCAGCGTATGACACTGCAGCAAGGCAACCTCCCAAAGAAACAACCCATAACCCAAAAGTAAAATAAAAGAATAAAGATACCAACCAAAGCAAACTCAACGAAGACAAAAGCAGCTCTAAGCAACGCAACCACCCCAGCTTGACACTCCACACAAAACTCATGAAAGACAATAATAAACGCAGAGCTTTTGAACTGCTCACCGTCTGATCAACCCACAGGCAACCGTGGTTAAAGATCCTCGAACCCGATGGCGTTTTAGCGAGCCACATATGCAGCAGACGGAGTCGCAGGGTAGCATCACGACTGGCGGCCCCCCTCAAGTTGCACAAAAGAGTCGAATCCATAGCAATCCACAAAGAAGCAAGCAAGGAAGAAAACGGGGAAAAACAGATGAGGAAGAAGGGTAAATGGCCGAACCGAAGCTAATTACCCCTATATAGCTCTCTCTCCAGCCCAACAATCAAGGCATCCCTGACACGCCGCAATGATTTCAATATCGGTAATCGAGGTCGTCATGTGGCAAGAAACACCCCAACGCTTCCCCATGTCAAGAAGGCAGCAGAAGATAGACCCTCTGACACCATAGCCTCCCACAGGCCAATAGAACAACAAAAGATACCACGTGGAAAGCAGGAAAAGCGGGTGGAAAATGGGGGCTACATCAATCAAAAACCCCAAGGCTTCCCAGTCTCTCAGAGCTTCCGAAGCTTCAATCAGTATGAGGAAAGCCCCCCTGAGACCAACGCGCCAGAAACCGAGCTCCAATTCAAAGCCAACGAAGCAAACCCCAAAATGGTAACCAAACACACAATCCCATTAAAAATGGAAAAGACAGGCAGAGGAATGGAAAAGACAGGCAGAGGAACCAAGCCCGCAAGCTCAGCTTCCCGCGAGGCACGGATGAAAAGCAGCTTCCCGCGAGGCCGAACAGTAAATCCGAGTCTGTATGAACAGGTAAAAGGTTTCTAGATGTACAGTGGCAGGTGTATTGAGCTATTATACTTTCAATAAGTAGGGATGGGACACTAAGTTTGACTAGCAATACTTGTGGAGGTCCATGAAGAATCAATTTGACTACCAATCACCTAATTTAATTCCAGTGTGCCGCACGTGGGAGTTGGTGTTAAATTAATCTTTAGTTCTTGACATGTGGGACAGTGAGAGGGTGTGATTAATTTTAATAGACATGTCCAGCTGCCGCTGCGTACGTACCTCGGCCTCGGGTATAAATAAAATGATGATTAATAGGCCACTCAGAGAGAGCGGAGCAGGCACCACAGTCCACAAACGAAACAATCTAGCTAATTGAATTAACCAAAAGATTAGATTAGATCGATCGATCATGGCGAAGGCGGTGAAGATCAGCAGTAGCGATATCGAGCTGATCGAAGCTCAGGGCCGCATTTGGAGCTACTCCTACAGCTTCATCATCAACAAGTGCTTGAAATGTGCGATCCAGCTGGGAATACCCGACGTCATCCACCGTCACTCCCCGGGGCCCACCTCCCTTCCGGCCCTCGCCTCCGCCCTCCACCTCCCGCCATCCAAGCACGACGCCCTCCGCCGCCTCATGCGCCTCCTCGTCCACGCCGCCTTCTTCAAACTCCAAGAGGCCGAGGATCACTACTACTACTCTCTCACCCCTGCCTCCGAGCTCCTCCTCCTCCCCGACGACCGGGCGGAGGCGGAAGTATTGAAGGCACCGCCGGTCCATCTCTTCCTCGGGACCGACCATGGCGACGACGAGCTCGGCATCTGGAGGTCTCTGAGCACGTGGTTCCGGTGCAGCGACGGGGCGGCCCCGGTGGAGGCTGTCCTGGGCATGTCCTTCTGGGATGCAATGGCGAGGGAGCCGAGCTTGATGCAGACATTCTACGGCGCCATGTCCGGTGACTCCAAGCTGGTGGCCAGAGTGCTGGTGTCCGACTGCTGCAAAGAGCTCTTCCGAGGAGTGGGGTCGCTGGTCGATGTCGGCGGCGGCACCGGGACCATGGCCGCCGCTATTGCCAGGGCCTACCCTGACATCAACTGCACCGTGTTTGAACTGCCGCAGGTTGTTCCCGACTCTCAGGATCAGGAGGCCTTTATTGGTCTTCCCAACTTGCAATTTCTCGGAGGCAATATGTTCCAAGAAAACATTCCTCACGGAGACGCGCTTCTCCTCAAGGTACGTAAATTCCATCCACTCGTAATCTCTAAATTCAACCACTTACGTTACGTACTGATTAGTTCAACATAAATAATTCGGTGATAATTATTTCTTATTTCACGCAAACAATTTGATAGAGAATTGGGAAGAATAAGGTTGATTTCTTAAAGTGTCTAGTATTCTGTTCCAAACTTCGATTAATTCACAATCTAAATAACAAAAATTCAACATGCATACGATAATGCGTAAGCATTCATCTGGCGTACTCTAGTCTGAACTATATATTTATTGATATTTAGTTTAACCAAAAGCCATAAGGTGATAGATCATAGATAGTTAAGACACATAAATAATGTTTGATTTTCTACGTACAGTGGGTTCTTCACAATTGGGACGACGACAACTGCGTCAAGATCTTGAAAAAGTGCAGGGAGGCGGTACTGCCGTCGTATGGCCGCAACGAGAAATCAGGAAAGGTGATCTTGATAGACATGGTGGTCGGGTATAATCAAACCAAAGGCGGCGGAGACTTCTCACAAGTGCAACTCTGCTCCGACTTGCTGATGATGTGCTTATTAAATGGCAAAGAGCGTACAGAAACCGAACTCAACAATCTGCTCATGGCTGCTGGCTTCAGCGGCTACAAAATCGTGCGCGCGATTGGCCCAAGATCCATCATCGAAGCCTATCCATGATCGTTTCTATTCTCATCAAATTCTATATGTTTGTTGCTTATTTCGTGGGCCAAAACATGCTATTTTAATTATCGGAAGTCTGATTGCAAACGGATTATCGTTCTTTATTATTGTCTTACTTGTAATGTTGTTTTCCGGTCATGCCCTGAGGGCTTATCTTGATTTAAAGAAATGTGTGTTGTTGTTTATCGACCCTTTGTTGGTGAAAATTCATATTGTACGTAATATGTCTATTTTGATGATCGATCAAGACGATGACAATAAATAATTGTTCAATAAAATCGAAAGTGGGTTGTAATATATGGTCTGACGATGTTGTTTTGTGAAGTCGCCGGCAAAAAATGGCCTAATCCGCATAATGTAGGCACTAGGCGGGTGACGAAAATGGTAAATGGTACTCCGCAAGGAGCAGGTGGTTGACATGCACGTACACCTTAATTACTCCCCCACCCAAAACGACCGACACTTTCTTTCCATATTCTTGAAATTATCAGCCTATCTATACTATAATCCTCCTCCGAAGAAATTTCTCCAATCAATATCTCCAATCCAAGCTACTTCGAGAATTAGAAGGAACAGCACATATTTCTTACCTTTCCAGTTCCACCCTCTTCTTCTTGAATAATATTCTCTACCCGATAATCATGTCAGGCCGTCACCTTTTCTTCATGTCTGTGAAGGAACCCAATTCATCCCTAGTTTAAAGCTATATAAAGGTACGATCTCCATTCTTCCATCCACAACGCCCAGTTCTCAATTTCTTCCCTCTTTCGTGAACCCTAAACCTTGCTTTTGTGATAGAGTTTTTGTAGCTTTTTAGTCTCCAACAATATATCAAAGTGAATATTATTTTGAAAAACACAATTATCCGTAAAAAAAAAAACAACTTAAAGCGAAAGTGATATAGCCTGTTAAAGTTTAAAGAAAAAATATCAAAAGTCTTCCATAAATAATAATGTGATACTATGTGACAGGTTATGTATGATTATACACCACAAAGTCGTGCATCACGCCTCCCAAACAACTGACAAATTAAAGCACAAAATGACAAAGCCTTAATTTCAGAGAAACTTGGCCGCAATTATTGTGTTTTTTCTATATTACTTGATTGATTTTCCAATTGTATATAAAAGTATTTTATTTTATCCGAACCCAAAATGCTGACCAGAAAAATAATTAACTATATTAATTATCACGAGGCTATATGATCATGCATGAGACAATCATATCATTATTAGATAATTATGTGATATCAAATCATATCACATATATATAACGTGACCAGCCAGCCAGTTCACACGTACCTTTTCTTAGAATAATTAACATTAATCGGATTAGCCTATACCGGCGCAGGGGTTTCTCCATGCAGGTGCTTGGTCCAACGTCCAATATATTATTATATGCTACCTTCACTGCCGTGCCGACCATCTTTTGATTAATTATAATTAAACCCACAAGAATAAGACGGGTTCCGAATTCCGATGAAGATCCGCCTGTGATGTGAACGATGAAGTCATTTCTTCACCTTTCGCATTACTAATTTGTTCACTGTAGTCAAATATCCTCAGCTCAAGGATTACAATATCAGTGCTGCTTATAAGAAAGTGATAAAACCCTCCAACAACCAAATCAAAGAAGATGCTCTGTACTAAGAAATAGTGTCTACCTCATAATACTAATACCACGAGGAATGAAAAGGTGGGGATGCATATCCATCTATTAGTTGTGAAGACTGAAGAGTAGTCAACGGCTAAACGCCAAAGCAGCTAACAGCCTAACACTATCCCCAAGCACTGATTATTGAATATATATTGGTATTTACTTAATCGATTAAGACGAGGTCTCATTTTGGCACCTCCTTCTTTTTATCATTATTATTATTATAGTAGGCTTAAATTGCACATGTTTTGTGCATCATGGGTTGCGCGTTACACCTAACTAGACAAGTTATCCATCCTAGAATTTTGCATATATATATGGAAGACGATGCCTGCACGAAATGGACTTGTTAAAAAGTGAAAGAAGTGAAGCGAAAGGAGAGAGAGAGAGAGAGAGAGAGAGAGAGAGAGTTTGAGAGTTCAGCAAATCAAATGGATGAGGTTGCGCAAGTCGTCTTCTCCAACCCACTGTTCCTTACCATCATCTTGTTACTCGTTACTATTCTGACGATGGTGCTGAAAAGGTCCAACAACAGCGGCCGCGGCCCGTCGCTGCCTCCGGGGCCCAAGAAGCTGCCCATCATCGGGAACCTGCACCAGATGAGTGGGTCGGGCCTGCCTCATGCCCGGCTACGGGAGCTAGCGAGGGTCTACGGGCCCATGATGCACCTTCAGCTCGGGGAAGCCTCCACCGTCGTCGTCTCCTCCCCGGAACTGGCCAAGGAGTTTCTGCAATCGCACGACCTCAACTTCGCCACCAAACCCTTCTTGCCCTCCGCCAGCATCATCTTCTACAACGCGCGGGACATCGTGTTCGCGCCCTACGGAGACTACTGGAGGCAGATGAAGAAGATCTGCGTGGTCGAGCTGCTCAGCGCCAAACGGGTCAGGTTGCTGCGCCCGGTCAGGGAACAAGAGGTGAATCGAATGGTGAGATCCATCTCCTCCTCCTCCTCCTCCTCCTCCTCCTCCTCGGGGCAGGCCGCAAACTTGAGCCGCCTGATCTTCACCTTGTCCAACTCTATGGCCTGCCGCACGGCCTTTGGGAAGGCCCAAAAGCAGGAGGAATCCTTTCTACAGCTCGTGGAAGAGATTATCAAGGCACTTGGAGGGTTCAGCCTGGGGGACCTATTCCCTTCAAGTAAGTTGGTCCGTTTGATTAGCGGTGACGAGAAGAAGCTAAAGAAGCTCCACAGAGAAGCGGATGTCATCCTCCAGCAAGTTATCGACGACCACATAGCAGCCAGAAGAGAAACAGCGGCAGCAGCGGACACCGCTGTTCGTCATCACGACAATGATCTTGTTGATGTGCTTTTGAACCTGATGGCCAACAACGATAACCTCGGATTTCCTATCACCCACCTTGAGATTAAAGCTGTCATCCTCGTGAGTATCCTTATTATTATTATTATTATTATTATTATTATTATTATTATTATTATTATTATTATTATTATTATTATTATCCTCTTCGTGGTTACTACACTAAGGGGTCGTTTGGAGAATATGAGTTTAAATCTATAGATTGTCAACAATTTAAAGATTCTAACTCTCCAGATTGTTGAAAACAGATTTTAAAATGTTTATTGTTTGGTAACTGTGATTGTTAACATTCAATTAAAATAAAAAATTTAATTTTATATTAAATAAAATTTGTATCCTTAATAAAAAAATAAAGTGGTTCAAGAAATATTAAAAAATCTGTTGAGATATATTTCATGTGATAAATAAATAGAAGTAAGAGAAAAACTAGGAGACAAAAAATCTCACGAATCAAGATATATAATCTCTCTGATTATGAGAGATTTGATATCCACAGATTTTAGAGATTTTAAATCTCTAAAGCTAGAATCCATAATAAAGAAAGCAATAAAAAAACATAACTTTCTACAAAATCTACGAATTCAGTGAATCCATGTCCTGAATCCTGTTCTCCAAACGACCCCTAAATTATTTAAGGGACTCGATTCTTCTCCGAAATACAGAATCTATAAAAAAATCTCGTATTTTAACGCACTAACAAAATAAACTAAATTCTTCTAAATTTTATTATTTCTAAATATATTTTTTATATTCATTTTGGGCTTCCTGTTTCTCGTAGCTGATCATAATTGTCAAATCAATGCGTTCCAATATTTATGGAATGTATACAAAAGGTAAAAACAAAATAATGCATACCGATAACTGGTTACTGGCGAATGAATACCACAAATTAATTCTCCCCTCCACTTGCCGTTATTATTTTATTGAAGGGCTGTCGCTAATATTCTTATTATTTAACATCATAACTTCTGGTCAATAATAGATTATTAAATATGTACGCAGGACATGTTTGTTGGCGGGAGTGACACGGTCGCTGTGACCGTGGAGTGGGCAATGTTAGAATTGATGAAGCATCCAAATATCATGGAAAAAGCACAAAATGAAGTGAGATGTTTATTTGACGGAAGGGGAACTGTAGATGAAGCTGATATTGATCAACTACACTATCTCAAACGGGTAATCAAAGAAACTTTAAGATTACATCCTCCTGGTACTGTAATATCTCCCAGAGAATGTCGCGAAACGACGGTGATTAGTGGATACCAAATACCTGCCAAAACTAATGTTATTGTCAATGTCTGGGCGATTGGTCGAGATCCTTGCTATTGGGAAGACCCAGAAAGCTTCACTCCAGAAAGATTCATCAATACTCATGTTGACTACAACAGACTAGATTTCAAACTGCTACCGTTCGGTGCTGGACGAAGAATGTGTCCAGGCATAACATACGCCATGGCTATTGTTAATGTTGTATTAGCTAATTTGCTCTATCATTTTGATTGGAAGCTTCCGTTTGGTATGAAGCCACAGGATTTGGAGATGGAGGAAGAATTTGGCATTGCAGTGAGGAGGAAAGGTGATCTAGTTCTCATTCCCATACCATACCCTCCTCCTCAACCAGCATAAGTCGTACCCTTTAATTTCCCGCTCGCTTTAGTGGCATTCGGTCCTTTTGTTTTTATGTATTTATCGTGCCCCTTCTTCTTAGGGGTACATTCGAGTTTTGTAATTTAAACTAATGGAACTTGTAAGGTCGACTTCAAATGATCATGGTTGGAACCTGGAAATGTGATCCCCGTCCACGTAGGACTTGTTTACTTGTGCTCAAGTGTATTTTGTAAATGGTAAAACTAATTACACGGGTTCGAATTGATAATGATAATTGTATGTGATATGTGATATGTGGTGTGTGATGTTGATATTGCTCTGTGAAAACTGGACCTAGTAGCTAACTTCTCAAACTATTGCTCCATACTTAGTCATCCATTTGTATTTTTTATGTAAGAAATTCATATTTTTGTAAGCCAATATACTCAACTATTAATCTAGGGATGTTGGATTCTGCCAAGATGCTTGTACACATTTTGAAAATTCCCATAATTTATCAAATTCTCTAACATTGGCAGCTCATGTTTTTTTATAATGGTGATAAATGCATTAAATGAGAAAACCAAATGTCCAGAAAAACAATAAAACCCAAAAGAAGGTTGCACCAGAAGTGTCGCCCCCTATAGAGAAGCAACACAAGCAAGCGAAAAAAGATACAAATCCAAAAACATATGGGTTGAGGAGCAGACAACAACACTCCCAAACATGAAACTCTACGAGAGCAAAAACAAGAAAGCAAAAACTCAGAGACGGGAAAGGAGAACCCTAATCCATTCAACTCCCTGATCTTTCTCAATCTTCCCATGAACCGTAATCCATTCAATAACGCTCCTAGCAGTCTTACAAAGAACCAGCTTAGCCGGAAGAGAGATCTGACGAAATATCCTCTGATTGCGTTCGAGCCAAACAAACCAGCAAACGGCAGTGTAAGAAGCAACTGGAAAACCATCCATTGATCACATCACCCTCATCCGGCTTCCAACTTTTTATAGTTGCAGCAAGGTCGACCCCAAGCATTAAGATCACATTGCAACCCCTTCTTGCACCACACCAGATTTCTCGATTATAAGAACACTCCACGAATAGATGGTTGACAGATTCCTCCATACACTGACATAGCTCACACCGATTTGCCAACTTCCAGCCTCTTCTCTGTAGATTATCAAGAGTGAGAATCTTCTTATGGACACATTGCCACAAGAATCACCAGATCTTTGACGGGATCCAAGTACATACTATAAATGATATGCGCCGGAAAATCAGGCATCCCCAAGAATCGAGCCTCGGCCAAGCACCTGTACAAAGATCTAACAGAGAAAGAGGAAGTAGGATTCAGGGACCAAACAAGACGACTAGGACCAGAAGTGATACGCGAGAAACCTACTGAACTAAGCGTTTCGAGCAACGCATTTCCCTCCCTCTCAGCCCCCCTCTCAAAGTAACTGACAGATTTAAATTCCATCCCACCCCATTACCTGAGACAATTGCAGCATGAGAAATCCTTGCTTCGGGGTTGGTTGCGGCAGCGGAAATGCGAGGGAACGATACGACAAGAGCCATGCCAAGGATCCAATAGTTGTTCCAGAATGAGTCACAATCACCTCCACCCGGATCAACGTACAACAGCTTCCAGACCTCATCATGTTCTTTGGTAATATTAGCCCACACCAAAGAAGAGAACCCTTGCTTTTGCTTACCAGTATACTAGCTGGAGAGACTATTATGATACTTAGTGACAATAAGTTTTCTCCACCAGCTTTCCCTATCATTGGAAAATTTCCAAATCCACTAACTAGAAGGGCTTAGTGGAAACCTTTTTCTCTAGCTTGTTCCCGTTTCAAGATTATGCACTCTCTCCTCATGTGTCTGTGTTGGTTGCAATGATAACATGTGATTTATCATGTAGGTCTTGAGACCGATTTTGATCTCTCGCTAGATCTACCTCAAACGTTGCTTCAATTCTGAGAGTTCTTGAAATTAGAATTTCGGTTTCCACCACTTCCATGGTTTTCATAATTATCTGCCATCAAAGCATGTGATTCCAATAAAATCCCCAATTCTTTTATCCTCGCTTCTTCATTCAACATACTATCATTGACAATGTCCATCATCAGCAGACCATTAGATATCGAGTTGCTAAGTGACCAAAGTCTCCCAACTATCCGGCAACGAAATAAGAAGTAACAATGTTTGTACCTCATCATCAAGTGATAACTTTATAGTAGTTAGTTGGTTCACAAGTCATTGAAAATCACTCAAATGCTCTATGACACTACTCCCACCCTTGTACTTCAAGTTCACAATTCTTCGAATAAGTGCGACTTTGTTTTGAGTTGATTGTCGCTATTACACGGACTACAATTTCTGCTACAATTGATTTTCCCTTTATCTTTTGTAACATGGTGAAAGATGCTTTGGGGGAATCATTGCTGAATGATTGCCAACGCTTGTCTATGCATGCCCTTCCATTGACTTTCTGAATTATATTTTGGCTTTTGGTCGCCACTTTCAATAGGTTCATATAGATCCTTACAAAATAGTATATCCTCCATTTGTGGCTTCCAAATCGTGTAATTGTATGACGTCAACTTGATAATTGCTCTGTTTGAGTCACAGTTTCTTGCCATTCACCCAAAATAGCTCGCAAACAACCTTGAGTTCTGATATCGCTGTTGAGAAACGAAGCATAGATAACAATATCAAACAAGAATGAAATGAACGAAACACAACGATTTTTACGTGAAAAACTCAAATAAGGAAAATTAACCACAGGACCGTAGTCCAAACCACAACTCAACTATACTTTGGTGGAATTAGAAGAACTCTTTAGACTAGCTAGAGGATTACAAAACACCTCAAGAACTACCTTCTTGGATCAGCAATCCACCACAAAAGTTATCACCAATAAATGGTTAACAAGAACAAACGACAAGACAAACAAACGTTGAAGAAGTACCGAAACATATTCGTATACTCTCTGTCCAACAACAATTCCAGACAAACCAGAGATCAGAACAACAATACTTACATGTCAAATTGAAGTATAAAGAGTTTTGAATATGTCACCGAATTTCAGGACGATTCAACGGTTTGTTTTCTTATAACTCTCTATTGAACAGGTTGTCCTGCTGCTGTAACCAAGGGTCTGCAACATTTTAGTTTCTCTCTTCTCTCTTCATAATTCTTTATCACCTAACTCTCTCTAACTCCTCTCTATTATAATAATAGAGGATTTTCTGAAAATAACTTTTGAACTCCCAATGAGTTCAAAATAACCCAACTCAATTACCATAATTTCTAAGATACTGGTTAATCCAACCATGGACGAGCCCAACAAAACATAACCAAAACAAAAACAATTCTCTGGAAAACAAATTACAAATTCAAACAAACTAGGAACCAAAAACCCAAAGCAAACCCTTGCTAGCAACAACTCATCCGTTCCAAAAGGGACAAATTAAGAACACCACCCACCCACCTCCAGATGCATCATAAACAACTGAGCCTCCTTCCGCACTTTTCTTCAATTCAACTATCTTTATTCACCTATCTTACGCTCCTATCTAGCATCGCATGAAACAATGCAAGCGTCAGTATGTTCGGCTTATATTGGGACGTCATCATATGCAATAGGGATCAAGCACAGGCTGCACTTCCTCCCCACCGCAACCCCAAAAGCTTCTGTCATGTCCAAATTTTCTGCATCCATTCCATCAACAAGCTTCCAATCAAAATGATATAGCAAGTTTGCCAATGTGAGTTTCACAACTGCAGTCGCGTAAAGCATTCCAGGACACATTCTTCTTCCGGCTCCAAATGGAATGAATTCGAAATTGTTTCCCTTGTAATCTATCGTGGAGTCCGCGAACCTCTCTGGATAAAATTTGGTGGGTTCTATCCAATACTGAGGATCTCTCCCTATAGCCCAACAATTGACTATCACTTTGGTTTTCGCAGGGATCTCGTATCCACAAACTTCAACTTTTGCTTGGCTCTCTCTTGGAAAAAGCAAAGGCAGTGGAGGGTGTAATCTTAGACTTTCTTTGATGACTAAGTCCAAGTATTTGAGTTCGTGGAGGCTTGACTCATCCACATTTGTTTTCCCACGGTACACTTGTCGTACTTCCTCTTGTGCTTTTCGAAGTACTCTCTCGTCTTTCATCATCTCAGCCATCGTCCAATCTATGGCCGTCGCGGAGGTTTCAACTCCGGCAATGAAAACTTCCTGTAAACATAATATTTGACAACGAAAAAAATCAATAATTGATATGAGGCACGATTAGAATATGCGTATTGTGATACCATTTGTAAGTTGAATGAAAAAAAAATACAATATTTGCAGGTACGTAGTTGGGACGGAGATTTTTTTGTTCCATTTTTCAGTCTAATACCTGTGTAAATTAGATGGATTTACATGGTGGAAATATGATTGTAAAGTTTTCACAATTTCGAGTTATACATCCAACCCCCCTGGACCACAAATTGTTAAATATTATTTAAATAATTTTGACTTCATATACAGTAATTTGAAATGAAAGAATCTCAAATGGTGAACTCGACACATGGGGATTATATTATTTGAATGGTTTAATTTACTTATACGTCTTTCAAACAAGTTGACCAAAGTCCAAGAGGGAGTTAAAAAGTTGGATATAGAGGAGGCGCCCAACGTTAAAAATATTAATTAGTAAGGATGAAAGCGTCATTTGACATTGGGGAAAACCCAAGTAGATTCCGATCTAGCGCATTAATTAGTGTTTGTTCAACATGCATGATTAAAGGCCGCAACAATCAATTAAGTAATTAATGTTGGTTCTGAGAAAAGTTAGTTTTAATGCTTTCTTTTTTGGGTACGTAAAACATCAGTTTGTCGGAGCTTACCACAGTGACAGCTTTGATGTTGTCCATGGTGAGGCTGAAGTCTGTGCTACCGCTTGCTTGAAGATTGAGGAGGACGTCAACCAGATCCTCCTCATTGCCGCCGCCTCCTTCCGCTCTCCTCTCCTTGTGTTCATCAATGATCCCATCAAGCATCGACTCCATCTCCCGACGCATCCTCCTCAGCTGAGCCTTGTACCCGGTCACCGCCGGGAGGAATTTCAGTGAAGGGAAGAGATCCGACACCTTGAATCCGGCCATGACCTCCGAGACACTCTCCACCATCCTCAGAAACCCGTCGTCCAGCTCCCTCGCCTTCCCCAGCACCGTCCGGCACGTGATCCGGCTCGACAGCCAGAACATCTCCCGGCTGACGTCCACCGCCTCCCCGCGAGCCGCCCGCCGGGAGAACTTGCGCACGAGATCGGCCACCTCCTCCTCCCGGACGGGCCGGAAGTACCGGACCCGACCCGCTCCGAGGACCTCCACCACGCAGATCTTGCGGAGGCGCTTGTAGCTCTCTCCGTACCGGGTGAACACCAGGTCGCTCCCGGCGTACGTCATCATCTCCGCGGCCAGAAGCGACGGCCGGGACGCGAAAACGGCGTCGTGGGTCTTCATCACTTCGCGCGCGGCCCTGCTGGAGGACACCACCACGTGTGGCACCTCCCCGAGCCGGAGGTGCATCACGTCTGGCCCGTGTTCGCGGGCCAGGTCGCACAGACGCTGGTGGGGGAGGGCCGAGACCAGCTGGTGGAGGTTCCCAATAATTGGGAGCCTCCGTGGGCCCGGAATGTTTTTTTTCGCGGTGGTGGAGGAGCTGCTGCTGCTACTTTTCAATTTCAAGAGGAGGGTTATTATTATTATTACTACGATGCTACTGGAGAAAAAGGGGATTAGTAACCATGAGAAGGCGGAATGCTCATTGATGATGAGTTGCTCCCAGCTCACCATGCTAATTTGAAACAATGATGCAAATGATGACATCTCCTTTTATTTTATTTTATTTTATTTTATTTAGTGAACCACCTATATATCTCTCTCTATTTCTTGTGCCCAATCTGCCATTGCTTATATAGCCCAGGACTGATACCCCTGGTCAAGCATCGGCGGAACACGATAAATAAATAATTAAATAAATAAATGGCGCCTCCTTGCATTATTATACAGGAGAATGAATGAATGTATATCAATCCAATTAACTGGTTCTTTAATAACGGAGCGCACTCTTGCTGACCCAATATTTTACAATCCCAACTTGTTTTTTCGTGATACGCAAGGATCGATAAGCACCAAAACGAGCAACGAGATGGGATTAGGTATGCTTGCAAGGAAAAAGTTAAAGAGTGTTAACAATTTGTTAGCAACGTGTTAATAATAACTCTAGTCAATAAAATATTTCTCTTTGATGATTTTTTTCATTTATTTTAATGGGTTAACCGTAATTAATGATGATTTATAAAAGAGGGGTACGCTGATTATTATGAAAAATTAGGGAGAGGGGGACACAACTCTAATTATTGTAATCGTGAAAATCAGAGTCAGAGTTGTTGGACACAAAGACGTAATTGTTGTTGTTTGTAGTTGTTGCGGTCATAGTAGCACGTCAAAACTGTAGTGGTCAGGAATACATAAATCCTTGTCGGCCTAGCCTCCCAAACTACCATCACGAAACCTCCAATCACTCCATTTCCTCTTACATACAACCAGCTGACCTTTTACTCCAGCTTTCCGATGCCAGCACCCCCCCCCCCCCGGAATTTGATCCCTCCATTTCCCAGCCCTCCTATCAGGATCCAGCTTCCCCAGATTTTGACCCTTTCATTTCCCCACTCGCTTCTCCCGACCCAAACCCTCTTGCAATTGTTCCCTTCAACCCCATCGATCCAGACCGTATTGCTATTTGGCAGGATCGGGTTGATCTTGTCAACCTAGTCAGCCGAAGTCTTGAATTCTGCATATTAATGGACTTGCAAGTAAACAGCCGAGAGTCTGATGCTGAGAAGAAGATTGAGGCCACTGCGGTTGAAACCCATGGTAGAAAGAAGAGAGAAGCTAGATCGAGGCTCGATAACGAGAAACGCCAGTTAGGAATCTCTGAAATCCCCTCTCCTTCCACCAGAGTAAGGAGGAAATCATCCCAGTTGTGCGAGACAAAAATCTCTTCTTTCAGAGGTAGGAAATCCAGTACCAAGGATGCCAAACGCGTGATCCCTCAATGATCCATTCTTTCGTTGCCTGGAATGTCAGGGGCTTAGGTGCCCCCGCGAAGCGAGCAAAGATCAAGAGAATCCTAAAATATGGAAACCGACAATTATTGGTTCTCGGAGACGAAGTGGAGCACTTGTGATCGACGACTTGTTACGTCCGTATTCGCTAGTAGAGATGTGGATTGGGCTGCCAAGGACTCTATTGGGGCCAGTGGTGGCATCGTTATAATTTGGGATAACAAGTATTATCAGGCACTGTCGGTGTGGGAAAGAAGGTACTCGTTGGCAGTTAGACTCAAAATTTTGGAATCAGGGAAAGTTCTCTCTTTTCTTGTAGTGTATGGTCCGCAGGCAAAAGAGGATAAACTGGAGTTCATCAAGGAGCTGGATTTTGTGTGTCAAAACTACACGGCAGCTCTCTGCATAATCGGTGACTTTAATCTCGTTAGGTCCTCTGACGATTATACTGGAGTTGCTCGTAGTGTAGCACTGACGGAAGAATTCAATAATTTCATTAGTACCTTTAACCTTCTCGATCTTCCATTGCAAGGGTCCAGGTTCACTTGGAGCAAAAATGGGAATGAGCGCTCTCTCTCCCGCATTGACAGAGCACTTGTCAATCCTAGTTTTGATGCGGAGTTCTCCCCTGGTGGACTAATTGCTCTTGATCGCATTGAATCAGATCATAGTCCGATTCTCCTAAGTTGGGGACAAGCTGAGAAATATATTCACCCTTGGAGATTCGAGAACATGTGGTTCCAGGAGTCATCTTTCCTTACCAGTCTAGTCGGGTGGTGGTGCGTCCCTGTTAGCGGTACAAGTCATCTTTTCAGGTTTGGACAAAAGAGTAGGCAAACAAAATTCTTGATCAAACAGTGGAACAAAGACCATTTTGGGAAAGTAGAGAAGAAGATTTCTGAACTGCTCCTAAAGGTGACAGAATTTGACAAAGCTGAAGAGATAGGTGATCTTGATGCTGCGGCAGCTTCTGAAAGGGCAATACTTAAATGTGAATTAGAGAAACTTCTGCTGATGGAGGAGATTGCTTGGAGACAGAAATCGCGTGAGCTTTGGCTTCGGGTGGGGGACAAAAACACACCCTTCTTTCACAATGTTGCCAAACATAACCGAAGGAGAAACAAGATCAACAGACTAAGGATCAATGGTATTGTATCAGAAGAGGAAAATGAGATAAAAGCTGGTTTTGTCTCATTCTTCCAAAACAAATTCCTTGAGGGTGAGGCTGTCAGACCCTTCCCAAAGAATTACAGATCGTTTTCCTTCACAATGGACCAAAATGAGACTCTTATACAACCCTTCACGGAGGCTGAGATATGGCGGGCTGTGAAACAATGTAATGGTGACAAGGCACCTGGTCCTGATGGGTACACACTTGAATTCTATAAAAGAGCTTGGCATATCATCAGCCATGACTTAATCAAGGCTTTGGATGATTTCTATCTTTCTGGATCTCTCCCGCAGTCGATTGCTCACTCATTCATTTGCTTGCTGCCAAAAAAAGATGCAGTGGAGGATTTTTCTGACTTTCGGCCTATTAGTCTACTAGGCAGCCTCAACAAGATAATATCCAAGCTTCTGTTTAACAGGCTGCAGCCCATTATGAGATATGCAGTGTCAAAGTATCAGTTTGCAGGGACAAAAGGCAGAGTCATCCATGAAGCTAGTTTCATTGCCAATGAATTGATTGATAGCCGTAGAAGGAGCGGTAAATCCGGCCTGGTAATCAAATTAGATATTGAGAAGGCTTTTGATACAATCAACTGGGGTTGTATGTTTGAAGTTCTCAAATCCATGAATTTACATCCACAGTTCCAAAAGTGGATCAGGGGAACGGTCACTTCCTCGAGACTCTCGGTTTTGGTTAATGGTGAAGCGTTGGGTTTCTTTGGCATGCAAAAAGGTGTAAAGCAAGGTGACCCCTTATCACCTTTCCTCTTCAACTTAGGGATGGATATCCTGTCTTTCATATTATGCAACCTAAGTGAAGCAGGTTTCCTATCTGGCTTTTGCTTTGATGAGCAAAATCGTCGAGGAGCGGTGACTCACCTTCTCTATGCGGACGATGCAATCATTTTTTGCGAAGATAATGAGGCAGAGTTCTTGAACGTTTTGGCAGCACTTGTATGCTTTCAAAGCATTACAGGACTAAGAATTAATCTTGGCAAGTCAAGAATTTTTTCGGTAGGGGAGGTTGATAACTTGGACAGGCTGGCTGAGCTATTTGGGTGTGATTGGGAGTTTCTTCCCACGACTTATCTCGGACTACCACTGGGAGCCCTTGCTTCTTCACCTAATATATGGAATCCTATCATCAACAAACTGCAGAGAAGGCTCGAGAGTTGGAAAGGTAATTTTCTCTCTATCGGGGGAAGGATTGTGATGATCAACGCAGTATTGGCAAGTCAAAACATATACACATCCTCTCTCTTTCTAATCCCAAAAGGTATTGTCAGATCATTGGAAAAGATTCAAAGAGACTTCCTTTGGTCCGGAACACAGGATAAGGAAAAATTCCACCTAGTTTCATGGGAGCTATGCAAAACAGCAAGGCATAGAGGGGGGCTGGGCATTCGTGATCTGGAAATCAACAATCAGGCTCTCATTTTAAAGTGGCTATGGAGGTTTGCTATGGAAAGAAATACGTGGTGGAGAGAGCTTACTGCAGAGAAGTTCCCGAATGCTATGTCCGAATGGATTTCAGGAGAGATCAATGGAGGAGCAGGTTGTAGCCCCTGGTCACAGATAATGAAGTTGCTGACAATTTTCAAGCAAACGACTGTCATTGACCAAGGTAGTGGCTCATGGACGTCCTTCTAGCACGATCACTGGATCAAAGGTACATGCCTAGCGACAAAGTTTCCGCGTGTGATGGCTGCTGCAGAATCTCCGAGTTCCCGTGTGGCGGATTACCTATCTAGAGAGGAGCAGAACTTGGTGTGGGAAATTCCTTTAAAATTTGTTCTCAGGGGGGGGGGGGGGGGCTGAGAGGGAGAGAGTGAGCTTAATGAATTTACTTGAGAATTTGTCTTTTTCCAGTTTTCTTGCAGGGCCAGCGAGGTTAATGTGGCAACCTGATCCAGCTGCTGGTTTTACCGTCAAATCGGCGTATGATCATCTTGCAGCAGCGAAGTTCTCAGGGAGTGAAGACTTTCCCTACAAGGTAGTTTGGCAGCCAACAGTTCCAAGTAAAATCTGTTCCTTCCTATGGATCGTCTTTCACAAGAAACTCCTCACTCATGACAACTTAAAGAAGAAAGGGATACAGCTACCAAGCAGGTGCTCTCTTTGTGAAAAGGCAGAGGAGAACCCCAATCATCTCTTTATCAGCTGCAATTATTCAATGGAAGTCTGGCGGATCATGAGCGCATTTGTTAAAACCGAAATCAGGGTCAATGCTAGTGACAACATTGCATCAAGGATCTACAATTGGTACTGTCAAAAGCCGGCAAACTCTAGTCAATGGTGCACCAAAGTTTTTCTTCACGCTTACTGCTGGAATATCTGGATAGAAAGAAACACCCGAATCCTCAAGGGAGTTGCTGCATCATCACGTGTTACATCTTATCGAATCGGTTGCGCGATCGCAAGCTGGTTATCCGCAGCTCAGAAAGTTGGCAGGCAAGAGACCAAGGCCTGGCTGGAAACTTTGAAAAGCAGGTTAATCTCTTCCCCTAGACAGAGTCTGCTGCAGGGCAACTGAATGTGGATGCAAACATCCCTGCG